ATGTCCTGGTCCCCGTGTTCTACGTTCTGCTGAAGTGCCCTCACTGAGAGCAAACTCGCACAAGTACTCCAAAAAGTGTATCCAACTGCAATCACAGCCAAAGCTAGTTTTGTTTTTTGGGACGTACGGATTTGAGATGGGCCCAAAAATTCGAAAACCTTCTGACGCTCCGACCCTGCCCCGAGCCCGCCTTTTACTTCTTGTGGCGACACGTTATTTTGCTGCAAGGCTGAGGCCGTGTACTGGTGGTTTAAAGGCAAAGGCAAAAACAAAAACGAGGACGACAAAGTGGAGGAGGAGGACGAGGATGGTGACGACGACAAGAAGGAGAAGGCAGTCATATTCATATGCAGGATTTGTGCACTCAAATCTTCTTACTGAGAGCGATCGGCTCACCTTTTTGTTATAAACGATCACGAACTCCTGAGGAGAAAGCGCCAATAAATTATTATTACAAAGTTACAAGTCATGAAAAGAGAAAACAGTTCAAAACACCCATCACAGTCAATACTGGTCAGTACACATATATTCGCTTCCGCCGAGGGACACAGACTCCCATCATTCCATGCAATAAAAACAGAAATCACGCACTGTCTATTCAAGTAGCTGACGTCAACAAGAAATTGTGTCCGACATCAAATCGGACTATGATTTACAAATAAAAAGAAGAAAGCAGCTCAGTCATCCACTGACACGCCCCAACACTGCTGGTTCATACGCCAGTTTTGAGTTAATATAGATTACATTAGTAACATTACTGTTCCCATGATGTTTCTAGAGTTTGCCAGAGGGGTCTGGCCTTTTGGCAGTCCATAAAGCAACGGTTCAGGGATTCTGGGGTACGGAGGTTGCATACCTTGCACCATGAATCCTGTTCCGTTCTGTTTTCATGATTGCGCCTGTTGGTCAACCATTGGTTTACTGGAGCTGCTCTGAAGGTTATTAACCATCTCAGGCTGGCCAGTTTGACCGGTCTTGTGGAGAAGACTGTAGCCCAGGGAAGCTTGAAGTGGAAGTTGGCTAGTTGTGGTTCCTCCTTTGTCCACCTGTTGCGTATTGTGTTGGAAATTGATATAGGTTTGGTAAAGAGTCGATAGCCTAGTTTAGGTGCGTAGTCAGTTAACCTGATTGGGTTTGAGATGAGGGAGGAGCCAGAGGAGGAGTTCCGTGTCCATTCCGTTGGGTCGATCTCCAGGTTACAGACACTAGTGTGGGGATTATATACTCATTTTCTTTCTCCTTCTATGATTTTGATTCTTTTCAGGTTGTTGTTTTTGAATGCTCCTTCAGCTCCACTTTTTGTATTGATGCATGTTACCGGGTTTCCTGGTTCCTCCAAGGTGTATATGTTGCAGCAAATCCAGTTATTGTTGTGAGGTTCGTAATTCTTGAATGAGAGGACTTTCTGGAGTGTGTGAAGTCCGTGGTGGTAGCCCAGTCGCCGTATTGCCATTTTTGGTCTGATTTTAGTAAGACTCGCCATTGTAGAGGAATGCAGTCTACGATGTGGTTTAGGTTAGGTCCCTTTCTGTTTTCCACGTTTTGTTTGGGTCATTCCAGATGTGCTTGATTTGACATATTCCCTTTTCGAGCCAATGCCCGTTTGGGTACATCTTTGAGAGTGGGAGGCTTTCCCCTTTGTCGTTCTTGATCAGTGGGTTGCCAAAGAGCTAAAAATTGCAAACCTCCTTTTCTCCTTCTGAGAAAAAAAATAAAATTAAAAAAGAAAAGAAAAGAAAGAAAACCAGAAAAAAAAAAAAAACAGGAAAAACAACAACAACAACAACAACAACAACCAAGAAACGGAAGTCCCTTACAGACTCATATATAGGCATTTCGACAAAAGTAACCTAGTCAGCGGTTCGGCTCAGACTCTAAGATTTTCATGAACGTGTCTGACCAAGATGACGGCCAGATTCAGTCAACGTAGACCTAGCCTGCTGGGCAAGTATAGCCTCAGAACACGAGCATCCAGGCAAACCAGACACCGGGACTGGATGGTCCGCTACAAACAGTTCACCTCAGACAGAAGAAAGTAAAAGGATTTCAAGTTTCAAGCATTTCCCAGCCTAAATCCCGGTCCCAGAGTTCCCGAATTCCCAAGTCCCATGTATCATTGCCAACCCGGTGGGCCCAGTAGTACAGTAGCCTCTGTAGGGTCTGGTAGGTCCGTCTGTACGAGTAGTTGAGTCAACGATACAAACCGTACAGTCCAGAAATAGCATCTCAGTCCTGTGAAAGTTCGGTACCTACCGGAAAGTCAAGTGACGACCGAGGCCAACGATCCAGTTCCCCATACCAGCCCAAAGTCCAAATTTGGGAGCTGCAACAAGACATATAAGTCCAGCAGCTGCAGTCCAGAAATAGCGGCTCAGTGCCAGGAAAGGCCGGTACCTACCGGTAAGTCAAGTGACGACCGCAGCCAACAAGCCAGGCCCCAGTACTGGCCCAAAGTCGCAGTTCGGGAGCCACAGCAAGACATAAAAGTCCAGCAGCTGCAGACATCAAGAGAATTTCCATAGCGCTACTTACTTGTGCCACCAAACGAGAGAACCAACGCAGGGCGCCATAGTCAGGGCTTGAGAGAGAGAGAGAGAGAGAGAGAGAGAGAGAGAGAGAGAGAGAGAGAGAGAGAGAGAGAGAGAGAGAGAGAGAGAGAGAGAGAGAGAG